GTTTAATGCAAGGGAAGCTTTACAAGATTTTACGACTCGAAAGGAGTAGTCTATGCTAGTCACCGAATTCATTATGTTCCATAAATTACAAATATCGCTTTGGTTAATTCATCAACAATAATCTCACATGTTTTCCAAACATTAAAAGGGGGGAGAATGAAAGCATAAAGTTATCGTTCAATACCATTTATGTGGCTTAGTATCTTTTGTGTGCTTTGATGTTTTGTCAATTTTATTATTGATTGATTGAGTATTTGTAATTTGTTTGTAATCGCTTCATCTACTGTTAGTTTGTACCACTAAGAACTTATCACAACGTGAACAATACCCCAGCGTAAGAAACGCTTGAAATACAACAAAGTCGCAACCGAACTTTGTTTATACCAAAGGAAAGGAAAGATATTGATAAAACCCATAAAATAAAAGAAAAAAATGGTCCTCACAAGCAGATAAGGGTTCGAGAGTCAGTTATGCAATAGAAAGTATTAGCATCCCTCACATCTGTTGCACTCAACAAGACACATTTAGCTAGTTTTGCGAATGAGTGTTAGTGTGATGTTAATTTTCTATCTTCTAATTATTATGAGAGAAAAAGAAAAAGAAATTTAGGTTTTTTATTATTGTGCTTTCCAGGTGCAATGGGAAAATCAGAGCTTTGGGAAAATCAGAGCTTTTTAGTTCGTGGTAGAAAACCACTAATTTAATGATTGCTTTTAGAGAGTGATGCTTAAATCATATTGAGAAGTTAAACATTGCTTGTTCATTGTTCTTGGAGGTTGAAGCACTGGTTTATTTTGTGTCAAAATGGATAAGGCATACTGGTTTGCGAAAAGGTTTTCAGAGACGTGCTAGGGCGGAAAAGATAGTTTGATGAGTTGATTTGCTTTTAAGGGATACAAGTGTTCGAATGTCCAAGCCATACAACTTGTATCTAAATATTTTGGAAAAGGTATGGCATATGTCCAACTCGTTCGTTTAATCTATTTATTGAAAAGAGTGAGATGAGTTTAGTCATAACTCCTTAACAGAAGGTGAGTATCAAATGACCAAGCTATACAACTTGTATTAAAATACTAGGTAGAATGGTAGGACATACATACAACTCACTCATTTACTGTATATGTAGTTGAATTAAACTCACTTAATTAGCGTGTTTTAATTGGATCACGACTATTCGAATGGCCAAGCTATAAAACTTGTATCCAAACAATCATGGAAAAGGCAGGACATGCGTACAACTCGTCCGTTGATTCCATTTGTTAAGAAAAATATTTTGCGTGTGTTTAATAAAACAACTTGACATTGACTCAAATGTTTTAATTTATTTCGAAAAGATTTGAATTGGTTGTAAAAAGCTTGGTGTTGACCAAGAGTTTGCGTCATGTTTGATTAAATTTATTCGGAAAATTACTTGACGTTTGATCAAGTTTCTTTAATTTCTTTTTGTGAAATGATTCATTTTAACTATGATCTTGATTTAATTCCAAGTTAAATCTAATATTAATAAAAAATTAGTAACTAATTAACCAAAACTACTAAAGTTGATATTAAAGTCTAAAGTAATAATCAAAAGCTAATTAAAGACTATCATTAATAAAAGATAAAAGCTCAAAAATAAAAACTAAAAGAAAAAATAGAAACTAAGAAAAAAAGAAATGGGCCAAAGTTAAAAGAAAAGCAAGGCCCAAAGGAAAAGGATAAAGAAAAGCGAACCAGGGGTGTGAGAAGAAGGGGGTGAAGGCCCAACTGGTCATAAGCCCATATCAGGGTCAACTTTTATTGAGTCATCCTGGAGCGTGTGATTAAGGGACTTATATGGTAGAAAAGGATCTAATAATGGTGATTATGTTCACACAAGGCTAATAATGAGGAAATAAACAACAAATTAATGGTTGACTGGACAAGCCAATGAAATCAAGCGTACAAAGGTGTGCCACATGTCTGTCCATCAATGGAGGTGAAGGAGGGTATAAAATAGAATTTCCCTCCGAAAAATTCATAACTCACTCTTCTTTCTCTATCTAACCTTCTACGCTCCCTAACTCTATCTAACCTCTCTCTTCAATCTCTACAACCTCCATTGTCCCAACCTTCTTCTCTGTTCTTCACTCACCATGACCACCACCACAGCTTGTCAGAGAAGACAGTGAGGGTGTCGACGCCTCTGTCTTCTCCGGTGGAGCAGCATCACCTAACTTAAAATCAAATCTACCCCCTAAACCAACCATCCTATTTCCGAATACACCATCAAAACTACCAAAAACCTAACAAAGTTTACTAGATTGGGACTCAACCAAAAACCCTAAATCCTAACTGTAGCGGTGAAAAATTTAAGATTAAGCTATTGATTAAATTAACTCATAAAGCAAGAGTCGCCACCACACTTTATTGTTTCCAAAGGAATGGGAAAAGAGCGAACAAAACCCAAATAGGTTTTAAAACAAAACTAATAAAACAAAGAGAACAAGGTACGGGGGTTGGTTACGCAAAGTAAAGGTGTTAGCACCGTAAACATCCATGGTACTCCATGGGAACCTCTTGAACATATGTGTATTTGACTAAAATTTGTGTTTGCAAAAAAGATTGTGAAGATGAGGAAAGAAATTTTTTGTATGATTTTTGATCTGGAAAAACTTCAAGAGTTCTATGCCTACGTACCTCCAATGTTAAATGGAGAAATCAGAACCACATACTTCTTCTAAAAAAGAATAAAATTGTTTATTTGGTTGATTTTAAATGAAGATACATTTTGTCATCTTAAGGAGAAAACTCAACTAATCACCTACGAGTATGAGAAAGTGAACATTTGCATCATCATGAGGAAGAGCTCAAACTTGGATAGAAATAAACAAGTACGCCTCTAACTATCTCAAGTGGAAAAGAATCAACACCATTTCATTCAACATTATGGGGATAGGAGAATTACATCTCAACTATAAAGATGACTCATGTCTAATCTTTGAGAAAAGATATTAAATGAAAAGCCAAGTGGAAAAAATATTTGAATGAGTTTTGTGTTTGTTAAGTCTTTTGAAAATGTTTGTTATGCTTAAGATGTCTTAAAATTTATTAAAAAAAGAGTTTGAAAATGAACTTGACAAAGTCAAGGTTTTTTTTAAAGTGGTTAAAGTTTAAGAAAACAAGAATGTTTTGAAAAAGAGAGAAGAAGATTTCGAAAATTAAAGAATGGGAGGAGATAAATAGACTATCCTAAAACATAAAGTAAATTCAAGAAATAAATTGTCTCATTGTATGGTAGACCAAGAGGAAGCCATGTGTGTGCATTATGAACTAACCAGGATATAACAAGCATATTGATATAAGTCAAACCAAGAACTTCATTCCTTTTGATTAAATCACAAGCAAGCCAAATAAGCGCAGAGAAACCAAACATTAGATGAAAGAAGAATTTAAGTCATAAGGTCCAAGCTAGGTATCATAGCCAAGTCTTTAAAAATTCAACCAAGGTCTCAAGTATCAGATGAAAGAAAACCAGATGAAATAAGAAACTCAAGCCAATAAGTCTAAGCCATGTATCAGAGCCAAGTCTTCCTTAAAGTCCAAAAGTTAACTCTAGGTCAATGTACAGATCAATTCCAAGCTTAGGGAAAAGAATTACCAAGTATTAAGTCAAACTCCAAGTCAAAGCATATGATAGTGTCCAATAGTCCATGAGAGAACTAATTTGTTTTTAGGGTTTTGAATTTATTAGTGTTTTTGGTATTTTTAAACAAAACAAAATAAAGCCAAAATAATATACAAGTATAATAAACAAAAGCAAATAAAATGCTAAAATTAAATTGCATAAAGTAAAAGCAATAAGTAAATGACAAGAAATAAAGTGAAATAAAGTAATGTTAGCGTAATAAAGTTAGTGTTAATGAGAAGTCAAGATCAACTGATTTGGGACAATGTAGCGTTATGTTAAGCAATCACAGACGGATTTATGTAGAAGTTAATACTATACGAGGCCGTTCAATAACAATTTATGTACCATACATGTTAGAGAAATAACACAAAGTTATTCTCCTAAAACATGTAGCACAAGTAACAATCAAGGAGGGATCAAGAACAAGGCAAGGATATTGGTCCATTACATCAATCATTCTTCATGAAAACTTAGGACAAACTTATGCATCAATCCAAATTACCTCAAATGACCCATGATCAATTGGAAGGTAGGTTTAAAATGATGAAAGTTCATCAAGTATCAATCCAACTTCATGATCAAGATGGACTCTTAATCATCCATTTGATCAAAAAATAAAAAGTAAAGAAGGAGATGAAGAGAAAAAGTGAGAAGTAACCCCAAATTGAATCACAATTTTGACCTAAGTTATCATCAAGATCAATCACTTTTTTTTGTGGATCAAAATCAACACCCAAAGTCTATTGATATTTATAAAACTTTTAGTCAAATGAGTCATGATTCAAGGCACAAAAATTTAAACAAAATAAAATAATCAAAAGAAATAAGAAAAACCATTAAATGATTTTTAAATGAATTTTTAATGAAAAATAAAAGGTAAGATAACAATGAAGCATTTAAATACCAATTAAAAACTCGATAAAATCAATCAAAGTCAGAAACAAGTTCATTAGTATCGAGTTTATTGGTACCAATTAAATTAGATAAAATCGATACCAATTAAATTAGATAAATTAAAGAAAAAAAGTAAACAGTAAAATAAAATTTAAAAAATTAAAATAAGGTGGAAAATAATAAAATAGATTTTTTTGAATTTTTTGAGGTTTTTTAGGTGAAAATCTGATTTAATATAAATTCTATAAAAGAAAATCAAATAAAAGATATTAAAAGTAAATAAAATAAAGAGAAAATTATGTGAACCATCAGATCTGATCAACTCAAATACTGTAGGTCCATCAAGAGATGCAGATCCAGAAGCACATGGTAAGAAAATATAAAGACATACACATAATTGAATTTCTGATCATCTTATCAGATGGAACAAGTGGCTCTGATAGCCTCTTGTCACCCATTAGCTGAGTTCAAAGATCCCAAGACCCAAACAAAGAAAACAATCACACATTAAAAAATGAAACAAAACTTCAGAAAAAAAAGATTTCTCTCTTTTCTTCCTGTGAGACTCACGCTTCTCTCTTTCTATTTTCTCAAACAAACAGCCGAAACACAAAATTAAAACACAATCGAAGATCAAAAGGGTGTTCCAAGAAGAACACGCGCGACGGAGCGGAAGGGCTTCATGGTGGTTCCCGACAATGATCACGGCGGCGCCACCGTGAAACATGCCAGATTCGGAATAAAATTTAACCACCTTGCTCGGTTTTCTTTCCTTGTTTCAAATCCGGAGTTAGTTTTTTTTAATACATTACAGATCTACAACAACAAATCAATAAAACAACTCAAAAAAGGATGGATTCGGTTTCAGGTGAAAATAAGCAACCTTTTGGAGGAGAGAAAATGGAGAACGACAACGACAAAGGGCGGTTTCCGGTGACCGCAATAGGGATTTCGGCGATGGCAGGTGGTCATGTTTCGTTTCTTTTGTGGTCTTTGTATTTTTTATCTGAATATTCTCCGCCTCTTGTCAGTGTATCTCTCCTGCTGTGTCAGTACCAATGAATGTTTATATACTGCTGGAATTCTAGGGTTTGTACTAAGTTTGGGTTTAGATTTAGGTTCAGATGAAAAGTGATTTTTTGATCTTGACAGCCTAATCCGAAAATCACTTAAACTTGGTCCAAGAATCACATTTTATGTTGATTTTTTTTACCAAGATACCACTTTTTTAACAATAAATTTCTATACTACTATAAATTTCAACTCATATTCCCAATATACCATATTTTCAAACAAAAAAAATTGAAGTAGGAAGCTCCGTCCATTGGATTGGCGGATGCTATTTAAATTATACAGCTTCTTCCCATTGGGCTGGCGGAGCTGTTAATATGTCGTTTGTTTCGACAACTTTACGTTACAACACTTCCGTCCATCGGATGGGCGGACCATCTTCAAGTTACAACACTTCCGCCCATTGCTTTTGCGAATGGTAAATATTTTCAACAACTCCGCCCATTTACTTGGCGGATACTTTGTGACAAAAATGAAATTTGTTTGAAAACATGGTAGTTTGGGATTATTGAATGAAGAAGATGGTATAATGAGATTTATTGTGTAAAAACATGGCAGGATAGTAAAAAATTCTTTTATGTTTGTAATGTGTTGTTATCTCATGAAAGTTCTTTGGGCCTGATTTAACAACTGTGTGGATTTTGTTGTTTTTGTTAAACTTGTGATAATGTGTTCTTGTGACTAAATTGAATTTTGATTTCAATTCTTTACTCTTGCCTTGATTGAAGTTAACATGATTGTTGTTGTCTTGTTGGAATGAATATGATGAATTCTATGTTAACTTGATTTGTATGGCAATTTGAACAAGTATGTTAACCAAACTTTCTGTTATTTTTCATGGCATTGGTGAGCACACATAGATGGAGGTCTTGAAGATGGAACTATGAAGGATTTTCATAAATTGGATTCAGATAATGGCCTTGTAGCTTGGAAAATTGTCATGAAATCTCTTTAAGAAAAATGTGTGAAGTTGATGTAGTTTTGTAGTTTAGGCAATAATGAACTAGAATGTTCTTTTTGTAACATGGTGATATAGATTTGGAATATAAAAAATGAACCATGCTTGTAATCTTGAAAGTTCAATCTTATGTAATTTGAAATGTTCTTGTTGTAGAATCAAATTTGAAATTTTAAACAATAGAAAGCCTAGATTGGAATTCATTTTGGATGCACAAGGAAGTTTGTAAAGATATGAATTCAAGAGTATTTGAAATTGGAGTTTTACATGTTGAGAACATTCTTGTAAATTCACATGTAGATAATAATTTGGTTGAATGATGCTTTCAAATTAGTTTGAATTCTTGAATGCTTGAACCAAGTTAAAATAAATTCTGACTTCCCATTTCTTTAACTCATGAAAGTCTTGAAACAATCTTGCCAAAGCTTGCTAAGTCATGAATTTGTCTTCAACTTCAATCCCAAATTAAAATTATTGAATAAAATGACTTTAGGTGAATGAATTTGATGAATGCCTTAAATTTCAAGTAACTTGTAATTGAAGAAATCCATATGAACCCAAACTTTTGAATTAATCCTTGAGAAATTGGAACACGCTTGAATTATCAACTTTGGATTAAAAAACAACCCAAATTCATGAACTTTCTTGAATCCCCCTTTCCATTATGAAGAAACATGTGATTAAGAACCTTAATGTTAATTGACAAATTTAAACTCATGGCATTGGTCACTTGAAAGCACACTTCACAACAATGAATCGAATCTTCAACTGAATCATAAATTCAAGAAGAAACCAAATTCTATAGTTCAAGCAAAAAATAGGAGAAACCCTAATGCACTTGTTCTTGAGAAGTCTTTGATGAAGGCATGGAAATAAACACATGAACCTATCTTCAACTAAAAACCCTGATTGAGCAATCTCACCAGAATTTCTTGATTCAAAGCCCTATCTTGTAAAAGAAACAAAACAAACAAGACATATTTTGGTATTTTGGTTGAAGGTTAGTAATGCATAAATGTAATATGAACACAAAAGGTAAAAATATACACAAAAAGGTGTCCGATGATCTATGCAAAGGCAAACCCAAAGATGAGATGGTTAGGAGATGACTAAGCATGTGATCTTGATGCTATGCAATGATATGAATGAAGTGGGATCTTAGAGGTATGACAGATACCCATATTTAAGTTTCTTCTATCCGGAGATATGGATATTGAAATCTTTGTCTCGATGTGATTGGAGAGACTTAAACACATAATACACAATTTTTTTGCCCTAAGGTGACACAAAGATGCTTATGATATGATATGAATACAAGACTCTAAACTTTGTTGAAAATGATGCCACAGAAGACACACTACTGCCGAAGAGATCTTGGAAAAGGAAACTTATAATCCACATGGGAAAACAAGAAGAGACCCAAACGAGGAATATAAAATTCCACAAGAGATGGGAAAAGGTGTGTAGACAAAACTACGATTTGAAACTACTGGAGATAAAGATAAAAGATGTGATTCACCATTTTCTCAAACAAACAGCCGAAACACAAAATTAAAACACAACCGAAGATCAAAAGGGTGTTCCAAGAAGAACATGCCCGGCGGAGCGGAAGGGCTTCATGGTGGTTCCCGGTAATGATCACAACGGCGCCACCGTGAAACATGCCAGATTCGGAAAAAAATTTAACCACCTTGCTCGGTTTTCTTTCCTTGTTTCAAATCCGGAGTTAGCTTTTTTTAAACATTACAGACCTACAACAACAAATCAACACAACAACTCAAAAAAGGATGGATTCGGTTTCAGGTGAAGATAAGTAACCTTCTGGAGGAGAGAAAATGGAGAACGACGACGACAAAGGGAGGTTTCCGGTGACCGCAATAGGGATTTTGGCGATGGCAGGTGGTCAGGTTTCATTTTTTTTTGTGGTTTTGTATTTTTTATCTGAATATTCTCTGCCTCTTGTCAGTGTATCTCTCCTGCTGTGTCAGTACCAATGAATGTTTATATACTGCTGGAATTCTAGGGTTTGTACTAAGTTTGGGTTTAGATTTAGGTTCAGATGAAAAGTGATTTTTTGATCTTGACAGCCTAATCCAAAAATCACTTAAACTTGGTCCAAGAATAACATTTTATGTTAATTTTTTACCAACATACCACTTTTTTAACAATAAATTTCTATACTACCATAAATTTCAATTCATATTCCCAATATACCATATTTTCAAATAAAAAAAATTGAAGTAGGAAGCTCCGCCGATTGGATTGGCAGATGCTCTTTAAATTATACAGCTTCTGCCCATTGGGCTGGAGGAGCTGTTAATATGTCGTTTTTTTTGACATATTTATGTTACAACACTTCCGCTCATTGCTTTTGTGAATGGTAAATATTTTCAACAACTCCGCCCATTTACTTGGCGGATGCTTTGTGACAAAAATGAATTTTTTTTGAAAACATGGTAGTTTGGGATTATTGAATGAAGAAGATGGTATAGTGGGATTTATTGTGTAAAAACATGGCAGGATAGTAAAAAATTCTTTTATGTTTGCAATGTGTTGTTATCTCATGAAAGTTCTTTGGGCCTGATTTAACAACTTTGTGGATTTTGTTAAACTTGTGATAATGTGTTCTTGTGACTAAATTGAATTTTGATTTCAATTCTTTACTCTTGCCTTGATTGAAGTTAACATGATTGTTGTTGTCTTGTTGGAATGAATATGATGAATTCTATGTTAACTTGATTTGTATGGCAATTTGAACAAGTATGTTAACCAAACTTTCTGTTCTTTTTCATGGCATTGGTGAGCACACATAGATGGAGGTCTTGAAGATGGAAGAAGAAATAATGCTAATTTCATGGAACTATGAAGGATTTCCATAAATTGGATTCAGATAATGGCCTTGTAGCTTGGAAAATTGTCATGAAATCTCTTTAAGAAAATTGTCATGAAATCTCTTTAAGAAAAATGTGTGAAGTTGATGTAGTTTTGTAGTTTAGGCAATAATGAACTAGAATGTTCTTTTTGTAACATTGTGATATAGATTTGGAATAGAAAAAATGAATCATGCTTGTAATCTTGAAAGTTCAATCTTATGTATTTTGAAATGTTCTTGTTGTAGAATTAAATTTGAAATTTTAAACAATAGAAAGCTTAGATTGGAATTCATTTTGGATGCACAAGGAAGTTTGTAAAGATATGAATTCAAGAGTATTTGAAATTGGAGTTTTACATGTTGAGAACATTCTTGTAAATTCACATGTAAATAATAGAAACTTGCAATTTGTTTGAATGATGCTTTCAAATTAGTTTGAATTCTTGAATGCTTGAACAAGTTAAAATAAATTCTGACTTCCCATTTCTTCAACTCATGAAAGTCTTGAAACAATCTTGCCAAAGCTTGCTAAATCATGAATTTGTCTTCAACTTCAATCCCAAATTAAAATTATTGAATAAAATGACTTTAGGTGAATGAACTTGATGAATGCCTTAAATTTCAAGTAACTTGTAATTGAAGAAATCCATATGAACCCAAACTTTTGAATTAATCCTTGAGAAATTAGAACACGCTTGAATTAACAACTTTGGATTAAAAAACAACCCAAATTCATGAACTTTCTTGAATCCCCCTTGCCATTATGAAGAAACATGTGATTAAGAACCTTAATGTTAATTGACAAATTTGAACTCATGGCATTGGTCACTTGAAAGCACGCTTCACAACAATGAATCAAATCTTCAACTGAATCATAAATTCAAGAAGAAACCAAATTCTATAGTTCAAGCAAAAAATAGGAGAAACCCTAATGCACTTGTTCTTGAGAAGTCTTTGATGAAGGCATGGAAATAAACACATGAACCTATCTTGAAAAGTCTTGAAAATAGAAACTAAAAACCCTGATTGAGCAATCTCACCAGAATTTCTTGATTCAAAGCCCTATCTTGTAAAAGAAACAAAAGAAACAAGACATATTTTTGTATTTTGGTTGAAGGTTAGTAATGTATAAATGTAATATGAACACAAAAGGTAAAAAGATACACAAAAAGGTGCCTGATGATCTCTGCAAAGGCAAACCCAAAGATGAGATGGTTAGGAGATGACTAAGTATGTGATCTTGATGTTATGCAATGATATGAATGAAGTGGGATCTTAGAGGTATAACAGATACCCATATTTAAGTTTCTTCTATCCGGAGATATGGATATTGAAATCTTTGTCTCGATGTGATTGGAGAGACTTAAACACATAATACACAATTTTTTGGCCCTAAGGTAACACAAAGATGCTTATGATATGATATGAATGCAAGACTCTAAACTTTATTGAAAATGATGCCACAGAAGACTCACTACTGCCGAAGAGATCTTGGAAAAGGAAACTTATAATCCACAGGGGAAAACAAGAAGAGATCCAAAGGAGGAATATAAAATTCCACAAGAGATGGGAAAAGCTGTGTAGACAAAACTACAACTTGAAACTACTGGAGATAAAGATGAAAGATGTGTTTCACCATTTTCTCAAACAAACAGCCGAAACACAAAATTAAAACACAACCGAAGATCAAAAGGTGTTCCAAGAAGAACACGCGCGGCGGAGCGGAAGGGCTTCATGGTGGTTCCCGGTAATGATCATGGCGGCGCCACCGTGAAACATGCCAGATTCGGAAAAACATTTAACCACCTTGCTCGGTTTTCTTTCCTTGTTTCAAATCCGGAGTTAGTTTTTTTTAAACATTACAGACCTACAACAAAAAATCAACACAATAACTCAAAAAGGATGGATTCGGTTTTAGGTGAAGATAAGCAACCTTCTGGAGGAGATAAAATGGAGAACAACGGCGATAAAGGGCGGTTTTTGGTGACTGCAATAGAGATTCTGGCGACAACAGGTGGTCATGTTCCATTTTTTTGTGGTATTTGTATTTTTGATCTGAATATTCTCTGCCTCTTGTCAGTGTATCTCTCCTGTTGTGTCAGTACCAATGAATGTTTATATACTGCTGGAATTCTAGGGTTTGTACTAAGTTTAGGTTGAGACTTATGTTAAGATGAAAAGTTATTTTTTGCTCTTGACAGCCTAATCCAAAAATCACTTAAACTTGGTCCAAGAATCACATTTTATGTTGAATTTTTTACCAACATACCACTTTTTTAACAATAAATTTCTATACTACTATAAATTTCAACTCATATTCCCAATATACCATATTTTCAAACAAAAAAAATTGAAGCAGGAAGCTCTGCCCATTAGATTGGTAGATGCTCTTTAAATTATACAGCTTCCGCCCATTAGGCTGGCGGAGCTGTTAATATGTCGTTTTTTTCAATAGATTTACGTTACAATATGTGATCGGTGGATCTGGAACTGACTGTTTAACGCTGGTTCGCGAAATGTCGCGGAAGCAAGAGTCGCCACCGTCTTTTATTTTCTCCAATTGGAAAGGACAAAAGCACAGAAAAATTCCTTTAAAGAGATTGCTCTCGGTTCGGGAGGTAGGTTATAGAAAGGGAAGGTGTTAGCACCCTTTCTATCCATGGTTATCCATGGGCTCTTAGATACTTGCTCACTTGTGTTTTCAAAAATGGTTTGTTTGCTTTTCAATGTGGGTTTAAAAAAGTTTCTTTGAAAAATTTCAGTTCGACTCGTACGTCAGAGTGTTTGAAAAGTTTGCTTTGAAAGCTTTTGAAAATGTGTCAGTGTGAAAAGTCTTTTTGAGTTTGTTTTGAGATTAGAGCAAGTATCTTTGAGAACCTACCTACCCTAAGGAATTCGTCTGTGTAAAAGTCCTTTAAAGTAGTGCCATCCCACCATTGAGAGGTAGGTAGCACCACCGTTGGAGGTGTTCGGGTCAATTCGATTTTAGGGACATGGTGATCACCAGAGCAATGGGAAGACACCTTAGAAGCTACCCTCATGCCAGGTTCCCGGATCATGAGGACTTACTAAGACGTTTTCTACTCGACGACCACCTTTCGAAAGGCAACAGTGAGGCGTACCCTAGGGGTGGTGTGTGATTTGTGTGTCACGTTTCAGTTATTTGTCTTGTCATGTTCGTCGTGTTCTACGCTTGATTTTAATTAGGACATTCATTCTTTCATGCTTGGTTAACAGTTATAAGTTGCGAGGAAATAAAGCTAGACTATTACAAATGGCGCGGGTCCACATCGCCAAAATTAAACCGGACCCGATTTGACAGAAAAATAAATAATGCGAAGAAATAAAAGTGCGAAAAGTAAAATTACACGGCTTTGGGAGATTTACAAAATTATAATTAAACGACATAAGATAAATGCGCAAATTAAATAATTAAAATGAAACTAGGGCGTTGGACCCTTTTACAAATAATTAAAAGTTAATGAGAATTAAAAATTAAAATTAAATGAGAATGATATTTTTGTGTTTTTTAGATTTAATGAAAAAAAGTTAATTAAAATTAAATTAAGAAGCAAACCCTAATTCTAATGTTTTTTATTTATTGTGAAAGAATTAAAATATGACCTAAATTAAACCTAATTCATTTATGTATAATTTAAATAGGAAAATAAATAAATAAATAAATATAATTATTATTGTGGAAAAAAGGGAAATAAAAAGAATTAACAATTAAAACCTAAATTCTACATTTTTGATTTTTTTTATTAAAAAGGAATTAAAATTAAAACCTAATTACACTACATAATTTACATTCTAATTTATTTATAAAAATAATTAATACATAAAATAATATTATTTTTTTTTGTATTTTCTGATTTTTATAATATTTTTTATATTTTATAGAAAAAATAAATTAATTGAATTAAGACAATAAAATAAATAAAACAACAAAAAAAGTGAGAAGAAAAAATATAAAATGCAAACCAGGGTGGGGTGTGGCCCCAGATTAGGAGGTATAAATTTGGAAAGCCTGGCCCAATTGAATTTGAATTTGCTGACTTTCCATGATTCCATATGATGCGTTTGACTCATACCTAGGGTGTACCCCCAATCTTCTGCCTTGAATGAGAGGTCCTGGACACGTGGGCTGCCTGATGGTGAGGAAACATAGTGTACCTTGACGTTAGCGTTGCATGGAATTAGTTGATGAAAAATAATATGGAATATGTGAAAGACCTGGGGTTCGAACCCAGGTCTTGTGGATCGTCCTTGCGTGTGCCTGCCATCTGTGCCATTTGCGTTTCAATTAATATACAATAGTCAATAAATATTATATAAAAAAAAAGTTAGTACTCTTTGATACGCGCGCGAAATTTTGAAATAACGAATTACAGCGTGCCACGGAGTTATCTTCTTCGCGTGCCTGAAAATAAAAACAATATGGCAACGGTTTTAACGCGTTGCCTAAAGCTATATATCAAAAAATAGCGATTAGACCCTCGACGCTCATAAATTGAGCGCGAGGGTTGGAAGCTTTTCGTCTGGTCATGCTCAATGCAATGGCAATGGTCTGGGATTCCAATTTTGCTTCGTCTGAAAAACCCTCTTTCAAGCTCCTGAAAACCCTAACAAAGAAACATGGCAATGTCTTCTATACAACACAAAAACTCAATTAAATATAATGGTTAGTTGTAAAACCTTGTAAGGAACATGAATATATCATTAAAATGCCATGATCATGCCTTAAAGCCAAAATACGATTATGGATGTTCTTTGGTACAGTTTGAACCCGTTTTACCAGTTCTTGGAGCTTTGCTTATGGTTTATGATTGATACACGTTCAGAATCACACAAGGAAACTATTGCAACAGGAATGGAGGCTTGAATTTACTTAGAACCTTGAAATCAGTTTCCAAATTTTTTGACAGTTTTCAAGTTCTTGTCTTTGCTTGTGAGCGCAGCTTCCAGTCTAGGAGCATTAGGGTTCTCATCCTGATCATATATGGAGTGATTAGGTTAAGAAACATTGGACAAAATCTTATGCATTGATGAATTTCAATATTTGATTTTACAAGATCTTTTTCAAATCTTTTTCTCATGGCTTTTGGTTCAATCATGTGCCAATCATACCAAAACTTGCCTATTTAAGACTTACACGAAATATTGAGCTTATAATGTGTATGAAAAGATTTTTTTAGGTTAGTTTGATATTTTTCATATATTAAAATCATTTAAATGAATATAAATTAATATTAATTCAAATAAATAATTAAAAAATATGAGAATACTTCCCTTTGGGCCTAGTGGTCGTGCATAGGCTTGGCATGAAGAAATTTGGAAGGAAAATAGGCCCATTTGCATTTTTAGGCCTTTTGCATCAATGTTGACTTTCAAAAATTTCCAAAAATTTCCCAACTTCCACAAGGCATAACTTGGTCAATTTTTAAGCTTTTCACATGCTCTTGGACATTTTGGAAAGGTCTTTGAGTCCTTTAACCAATGCCTTTGGTCCCATGTCCTTTTGATTTACCAATCTCAAGTTATGGCCTTTGACTTAAAGTCACTTTTTGTTGACTTTTGAAAATGACCTATAATGTTGAAATTGATAACTTTTTGTGAGAGCATTTCTTGGACTTGGAACATGAAGATGAATTGTAGGAAATGTCTTTCTCTTCAAAATGAGCTTTGGATGGAATTTTTCTGATAATCCATGTGAAAGTTATGCCCTGGTCAATTTCAGTTGACTTTTTCAGCTGTCCAAATATAGCAACTTTTGCATCTTTGATGATTTCTGAGCCAAATTTTGAGAATCATGATCAAGCATTGATCAAATGATGTTTGTGGCTTCAAAATGATATGTTGACCAAAAATTTGAACTTTTGACTGTCAAATGACCATTTTGCCCCTACAGTTGACTGTAGTGCAATCTAGGGTTTTGACTGTGCAATCTTGAGCTGAATGCCTTGAAACTTGACATGAGGATGCTTGACCATCTTTGTGAGTATATGAGATTTGATTGGGCCTTTGAAAAGTTCATTTGCTTGACCAGAACTCAAACCCTAGTTTTGACTGTCTAGGAGACAGTTGAGCTGCACAACCCTTGGGGAATTTTGTGACCTTGACTTTGACAATTCTTGATGAATATGGGAGGGCAAATTTTGGGGTACAACACAATACTTTCGCCCATTGGATGGGCGGACCTTCTTCAAGTTACAACACTTCCGCCCATTGCTTTTGAGGATGGTAAATATTTTCAATAGCGCCGCCCATTTACTTGGTGGATGCTTTGTGACAAAAATGAAATTTGTTTGAAAACATGGAAGTTTGGGATTATTGAATGAAGAAGATGGTATAGTGGGATTTATTGTGTAAAAACATGGCAGGATAGTAAAAAATTCTTTTATGTTTGCAATGTGTTGTTATTTCATTAAAGTTCTTTGGGCCTAATTTAAAACTTTGTGGATTTTGTTGTTTTTGTTAAACTTATGATAATGCGTTCTTGTGACTAAATTGAATTTTGATTTCAATTATTTTCTCTTGCCTTGATTGAAGTTAACATGGTTGCTGTTGTCTTGTTGGAATGAATATGATGAATTCTATGTTAACTTGATTTGTATGGCAATTTGAACAAGTATGTTAACCAAACTTTCTCTTCTTTTTCATGGCATTGGTGAGCACACATAAATGGAGGTCTTGAAGATGCAAGAAGAAAAAAATGCTAATTTCATGGAACTATGAAGGATTTCCATAAATTGGATTCAAATAATTGCCTTGTAGCTTGGAAAATTTTCATGAAATCTCTAAGAAAAATGTGTGAAGTTGATGTAATTTTGTAGTTTTGGCAATAATGAAGTAGAATGTTCTTTTGTAACATGGTGATATAGCTTTGGCATAGAAAAAATGAATCATGCTTGTAATCTTGAAAGTTAAAGCTTATGTACTTTGAAATGTTCTTGTTGTAGAATCAAATTTGAAATTTTAAACAATAGAAAGCTTAGATTGGAAATCATTTTGGATGTACAAGGAAGTTTGTAAAGATATGAATTCAAGAGTATTTGAAATAGGAGTTTTACATGTTGAGAACATTCTTGTAAATTCACATGTAGATAATAGAAACTTGCAATTTGTTTGAATGATGCTTTCAAATTAGTTTGAATTCT